ATCTATCTATCTATCTATCTGTCTGTCTGTCTGTCTGTCTATCCGTCTATCCGTCCATCCATCTATCAGTCTGTCTGGTGTAATCCTCACATGTTTTAGTACTGATGGGATGATGAGTTCATTCTGTCTGTCTCTGTCCTGCAGATGGAGGAGGAAAGGCTGTGAAGGCCAGTGAATGGGACGGAGAGCTGGAGGCCATGATGACGACCGTGTGTTTCAAGTTCAGAGAGGAGACTGAAGACATGCTGATTAGCAGCAACAACACGAGCGAGAGCACACACACACACACAGACACACACACACAGACGCACACACACACAGACGCACACACACACAGACGCACACACACACAGACGCACACACACACAGACGCACACACACACAGACGCACACACACACAGACGCACACACACACAGACGCACACACACACAGACGCACACACACACAGACGCACACACACACAGACGCACACACACACAGACGCACACACACACAGACGCACACACACACAGACGCACACACACACAGACGCACACACACACAGACGCACACACACACAGACGCACACACACACAGACGCACACACACACAGACATACAGACACAGACACACACACACACACACACACACACACAGACACACACACTCACACGCACACACACGCACACACGCACAGGCATACAGACACAGACACACACACACAGACACACACACATACACACACACACACACACACACAGACATACAGACACAGACACACACACACACACTCACTCACTCACTCACACACACAGACACACACACTCACTCACTGACACACACAGACACACAGACACACACTCACTCACTCACTCACTCACACACACAGACACACACACTCACTCACTGACACACACAGACACACACACACACACACAGACATAAAAAAATAGAGCATGTATACAAGTATGTAATTTTTTTAAGCTAGGTATAATTAAACATGCAGGATTCTATTCACTTGTTTTTTAGAACTTACACATGCATTTACACTGCACTACAATTTGCTTAAATAATTAATTAATTTTCTAAATATAAAAAATTGGAATATAGAAATATAAAATCATTGAAAAAAATAGAATGATACTTTTTAATATGAATCTTCAATAGCCAGTAGGTGGCGGCAAGTCATTTTTTCATTTATTATTATTTATATAAGTGAGTTGCTGAGTCTTTTATTCAATCGATTCTTTCAAAACGACTGATTCATTCAAGAACTAAGTAATTTTATTTTTATAAATTGGATCAGTTAAAAATGCAAGTTCTTTCAGTAAGGAAACAACGCTGTGTGTTGCTGCTGAGATGCACAACATGGCTTTTTTCTTTAACGAAATAGAGCAAAAAAAGACAATATTGTCTTTACAATTTAAGCCACTTAATATTAACATCTTGTTTATTAAATTGTTTATTATTATTTATCCTATATAGGGTCATAGAGATGCAGTAAACAACACCCTGTATAGATTCTAATTTTTAAAATTAATTATTGTATTTTATTATTTTGTTTTATTTCATATTTTATTTTATTTATTTATTTTTTATTATTTATTTATTTATATTTTATTATTTTATCATATATTTTTATTTGTTTAAAAAATATTTTATTTTATTTAAAATATATTTTATTTTATTTAAAATATTTTATTTTCCAGTCTATAGTCTTATCCAATCCTATGTTCTATTTTTTTATTTTTATTGTACTTTTTTATTTTATTTTGTTTTATTTTACCACGCAGCCTATTGTTTTATCCAATCCTGTTTTGTTCTATTATTTTATTTTTTATTTATTTTTTTTTTTTTTAGCACCCAGTCTATTGTCTTATCCAGTCCTGTTTTGTTCTTTTTTTAAATTATTTTACTTTCTATTTTATTTCATTTATTTATTGTATTTTATTTTGTTATAACAACCCTCTATTGTCTTTTCCAATCCTGTTTTGTTCTTTGTTCTTTGTTTTTTAAATGAATTATTTTATTGTACCTCTTCCAACTTCTGAACTGCTTGTCCTATGTAGAGTCCTTCATAGTCTTTTCTATTATATTCAGTTGTACTCTGGTCTTTTCTATTATCATGTCCTGATTGGTTTATAATCCGGCCTGTCTCAGATTGTGGGCCTGACGGCGTCAGTCAGCATCAGTTCGTTCAAGAGCAGGCTGGATGCGGAGAACAACATCTTACAGCTCTGTGCCAATCTGGACACCAGGGTCATCACCACAGTTACTGAACACAAGGATGAGCTCAAGTCATACGTGCACATGCCTGAGAAAGGTCAGCGCTTGCAATATACAATATACACACATACGACATTACCTATCACACATGATTATTAATGCCATATGTGCGTGTGACAGCTTTTTTCGAGGTTAAACAGTGCACGAGTCACCCCTTCATCAGAATAATCAAAAACATCATGAGTAACATCGAGCAGCTGGCGCAGAAGACCTACAACATCGGTGCGCAGTCCTCACCTGCACACGCATGCTGTACAAACACTGACACACACATTAACACACATGTGTCTCTGTGTGTCTCAGAGAGCCTGCTGAACATCCAGAGCCGCGAGTATGGCTCGCAGAAATATGAGCAGTGGCTCATTTCTGTTCAGAAGAGCTGGAGAGTCTTACAGATGAAGAACACAGACGAGGAGAGAC